CCTTTATATCAGGTGTGCACCTTTATGGTGTAAATACAGCCTATCTACCAATTGGATCAAATATAAAAGTCAGCCGAATTAGTGTTGATACTGCAAGGAGACGTATTGTGTGAAAAGAAATGTAAGATGTTGTTTAATGGCTGATATATTTATGATCCACGTCACGTTTTCAGTTCCTCATGTTTGTCTAGAAGTCTTCTCATCAGGGCTCTATAAATACAGAACTACGGCAGATATGTAATATTTAATGCAGCCGAACCGTGTATTACAATGCCGGTATGTGATGACTTCCAAAGATAAAAGCAAGCACACTCGGAATAAAGTATTATTGTATTTTTTTTCAATGTTTTCGGTCTGTTTCCGTTATTTGTTAATGACGATGTGCTGTGAGATGTGAGACTGGAATTGCACAGGGGAAAATAACGTATCTTTAGATGCGGATTTTGTTAAACTAATATGTTTGCGCTGTGGACCAACACTATACATTGACGGGGAAGGGGGTAGCAATAAAGATAACACCATTAAACAGTTACACAACATAACAGAAATAATATCGATAGCAGCGTCCCTAGCAACCACCTTGGTAACAATGAAAACGTTATGGACGCAATTTCCTGAAGTAATCTTCGTAATAACTAGCAAACTAAAGATCATGTACATCCACTGCACACATAATCTGAAATAACAACTCATATTTCTCGCATCAAATGACATCAAAACGCATTTTAATGGCCAAACTAACTTTAAAATAGGCATTTTCCATCGAGAATAAAACGAAGTTCGGCCATGTTTTTTTTTTTCTTCAGGGAGAAATGTGAAGATCACGTGACGTCAAACAGAGCACATGGTGTAGTCCAAACGATAGCTGGGGATTCTGGGTAGTGTAGTGTCTTCTGCCATCCTTTACTCCGAAAACATATTTGTTTCTCCGAATCGAAAGGGAAAAATACAAAAGCATTGCACACAATTTAAACCAATCAATGTTGTGTAATTAACAAGGATAATCTGGTGTTTTTTAGTCGATGAGTAGTGCAGATATCACTGTAAAATCAATCGACAGTAAGGGAAATACTTACTTCCGGGTGTACAATTCTCCGTTATCCAATGAGAATGGACGCTCACATTGCCTTTAAGGGCAGCCGACACAAACGAACGCCGTGCTTCCATGAGCGTCTATAGAAGCATATGGACATCCCGGAAAGCTGAAAATGGACGCTAAGGGGCCCCCCCCTTGCGTTGAAAATGGACGCTAAGGCCCCCCCCCTTGCGTTGGAAAAAACCGACAGGGGACTTGACATAACGTCAACATAGGCCGACCTGGGAGTGAGGATGTGTTGGTGCATTATGTATTGTGTGTATGGTTATCACTGAACAAAAACGCTGCTTTGAAAGAGGAAAAGATCATAGATCATCTTAGTGATCGAAACCTTCAAAACTTCAATGTCACACGAGCAGAAAAAACAAACTTCGTCCGACCAGATTCAGTTTCAATGCAGCAGCTCACACACGAGAGAAAGTACACCATAATAATTACAGTGCAACATTTACCCATCAACGCATTCCCTGATGCATTTTCCCTGTCCCATCCCTGTCTTCATAATGAATCGGTTGCCACGGTTACTGTTGCATGGTAACAGGCCAGTCAAATGCTCCTAATCCTGCTGCTGTTGACAGTGAGCTGTGACTAGGGAAGGGAGGATGAGAAGGAGAGGGGGGGGGGGGGGGGCGTTTGTACAACAAACAGCAGCGCTAGAGAGAATAGATAGGAGGTGTGTACGTGCACACATGAATTGTGTTTCTGCGCGAGTGTTTGTGGGTGCATTATTATGAATGTGTAGTAGAGGTTTCTATGTAATGGCTGAGGCTGAGCAACTGCAGTGGGTTGTGTGAGAGGTGAAAATGAAACGCCTCGATGAGAGGTTTGCGGGTATTTAAGCTCGTGTTAGCCAAACATAAAGGCAGACACTGCTCTATTTCCATTGTCGCAATCATTATTTTATAAAGCTGTCTAACAGGAATTAATTACCTGTCACATAAATGACGACTGGAAATGAATTACTGGGGTTTCAGGATTTTATGTCAATGTGTGCATGTGCACTTTCCCTTTCAAGCCGCAGAAATGTAATTGTATGTCAAATGACATTTCCTCTGATCGGTGACTTCACATCCTTTCAGAGGCACAGAGGAAGCTGTCAGACTTTAGTCTTTCAAAATGCATCCAGAAATGCTCTCCTTCACTCAGCAACAGCATTTTAACCCCCTAATGGGTTATCAAAATAATTACTATCAGTTAATTTAATTGCTCGCATCTTATGACATAACGCTGCTTTTCCAAGAAATGGAATGAGATTGTTCAAGGACAAGCAAGTGGAGTGGAAAAAAAACATGTTGGCCATGGTTTTGCCAATATTTAATTTACCAGGCTAAACATTCACTGACTGTCAAAGTCCCTGCAAAGTGAAAAACATGTTAAATTAATTAATTAATATCATAGCAGAGATATTTTACATACTTCAAAACATGCCTGAAGTTGAAGTTGGCTCACAGATATTCACCTTCATAATATAATATTTGTAATCTTTTTAGATTTGGATGTTAATGGATATAATAGATAGATGGATATACTAATATTGAATAATGCTCATCATACTCAGTCTTACACATTACAAAATAATCAGGTTAAAGCAAATGAGAACACTATTTTGTGTTAACATATTCACCTGCAAACAATCACCATCAACATAAACAGACAATTATAGAAAATGTTCATTTAAATGTGCTTAGCTTACAGTCAGAAGTTTGATTATGATCTCCCACAGAGAGGGAAAGCAGAGCAGTGTGAAGAAAGTGATGTTCAGGTAGAGCAGAGGAAACATTGTGACAGAGAAAATCATCTTGGTAGAAGCACCCTGTCTAGTAAGACTGTGACATTTAAAATGAACCCTAATGAATTACCAAGGGGTGGCTGCACAAGTGATTTGTATTTATGGGAAACAAAGCAATGACACAGGGTTGAACTTCCTTATTAATACTTGAGCTTAATGAGATCCTGCGCCTCTGGACTACCCTGACAGGAGGAGGTGAGGGGGAAAGCTGTGTGTGTGTGTGTGTGTGTGTGTGTGTGTGTGTGTGTGTGTGTGTGTGTGTGTGTGTGTGTGTGTGGGAATCAAATTAAGGGGGTCTGCATGCCTTACTGCTCCTGAACGCTGCTCTCCCCCTCCCCATTAAGAAGTCTGCAGTGGCCAGGTGAGGAGTCGAGGTCCTCTGTGGCCTCAGCTGGCTGTCTCCGGCCACTCTCTCTTATTTTCCCACCCTGCAAAGAGGCGGAGTGAGGTCAATCAGACAGACATGACTTTGTGCACTGAACAATATTTAGGGGCCATTCTTAGTCCTCGGGGAAACATACTTATACAGAAAGGAGAGCCTATGTTTGTAACAGCATGTGAGAGAACGGGAGTAGAAAGGAAGACATGGATGAAGAAAGGGACTAAAGACACATTGTTATGAACAAAGCCTTGGTTTATAGCCTTAGCAGTTATTGTGGTTCAAGAGTTTGTTTTTGTTTACCTTTGTCGTTTCCACATTATTTACTAGAAAGGGTTACTTTGTCAACATGTACTACCTAGAAAAAAAACACATAGTACAAAAAAGCGCTTTCAGCCAAAATGAAAAACTGGCCACATTCAAGGTTATTATAAAACTTTGGTTTCGCATTACTGTTGCCTTTTCATCATTATCCAAAAATAGTGCACTTACGACACTGAAAAATCAGGGTTAACTTTCAGACCACACTATGATCGTCTAATCCTCCACTATTCCCCTCTGTATTTTTTTTTCATGCTGTGCGGATCTTGTGATTTGCTCAGAGCACCATGTTGTTTCTGTAACCTTTTAAACAACAGTCTTCCATCTGACAACCTCCTGGTCACAAGCTGCTGGCCAGTCGCCACATCAGCTAGCAGCTGCCATGAACTGATCAACGTTCCTTTTCACTCTTATACATTCAAAGTCACATGAGCACAAACTACACTGAAGCACATGCATGCACACAAACACGTGTATACCCACACAGATACACAAAGGGTGTTTCTTCTGGAGCTAAACTTCCGCAGATCAAATGGAAATAATTCAGATTTAAAAAACTTAATGAATAAAACAAATACAATTGAAGTTTGGTACAGCGTCTGGCGTCACATGGTTCCTGTTTTTGCTAAAAAGTCTTGCTGTGACTCATCTGTACTCTTCTTGTTTCCTCTGATTAGCCCGTTTATCTGAAAGACATGGCCAACGTCAGTGATTTCCATTTCAGAATTGTGAAACATATCTTAATAATTCATTATTGAGAAAATATTGCTACACTTAATGAGGTCCTTCTGGCTATAAATGAAAATGCATCAACATTTGGATAAGCCTTGTTAAGTGTTATGAAGGCTGAAGAAGAAAACAATATCATAGAATCCGAGCTGTAACGGTGCATTGAAGGAAAGGTTAGAGCGGTCTGTCCTCAGTGTAAACAGCATATCTGTCAAAAACAGCCCGTGACCTTGTCTCTACCCAATCCACATTTTTTATAAATGACAATTGATGCACATATTCTTCACAAGATTGTTCTGTAATGAGCAAACCTAAAACTGACACACATCTTCTAGGACTGATTATCTCACAGTTATGGACTTGGAAAAAACAAGGAAGTTGTTACAGAGGAGAACGTGAGAGTTCAGATGCAGGTCTTCATCTGTGTGAGTTTCAAGTCTCTGTTGACATAACAGAGAAGCCGTACTGCTGGTCAGTCAGTCAGTTATCTTGTCTCCATTTTCTTTCTCAATTCTTGCTAACATGGTTTATCACTACATGATCCTGCCTGTGTAAATAAGGTTTAAATGTGTGATAGTGTGGGCTGATTTAGGTTGTTGCTTCAGAGACAATATAACATCTAAGCTGTGAAAATAATTCCTCGTAGCCTGATCTTTCTGTGTCTCTCTCTTTCCACATGCCTACAGAGCCGCATGGCCGAGAGCTTGCGCCTGTTCGACTCCATCTGCAACAACAACTGGTTCACCAACACGTCGCTCATCCTCTTCCTCAACAAGAAGGACCTGCTGGCAGAGAAGATCAAACGCATTCCCCTGACAGTGTGCTTCCCTGACTACAAAGGTCAGAACACCTATGAGGAGGCGGCTGTCTACGTGCAGCGGCAGTTTGAGGACCTCAACCGCAACAAGGAGACCAAGGAGATCTATTCGCACTTCACCTGTGCCACTGACACCAGCAACATCCAGTTTGTGTTTGACGCTGTGACGGACGTGATCATCCAGAACAATCTCAAGTACATTGGGCTGTGCTAGGACCTGATGCCGGGTGGGGGGGTGGTGGTAGTGGTTGTGGTGTCCGGGGGGGTAAAAGCGGGCAACTTGGCAGGAGTTGGCACGCCATAAGGCTGGATAAACAAAAGGCATGCCTGCCAGTTTATCTCTTGGAAGAGGTGCAACAGAGACCTGCAGAGGAGAGGAGGTAGAGATGGACAGGGCTGGACCATGCTGTAGATTAATGCGTTTCAGTTGAAACAAAAGAGCTGATGGGCCACGGTCAAGATGGGATTTTTACCCAATGTGTTTGCACTGAATATGAGTATGCAGAGACACCCAGAAACACACACACACATACACAAATGCACACACATCCTTATGTTTGCTCACACACAAGATCTTTGGATCAACAGTCAAGCACTTGTTTGACAAGGCATCACTGGAAACGTTAGACAGCGACCCCTACCTGCCTGCCAAACCTGAGGTAGTAGGTCTGTACTGCTGGTTCTTTTCGGTGACTTTTAGTTTATTTGCCAGTCAATTAATGCTGCTTTACAAGAAGAAATTTGACAAAATCAATGTTCTCTTTTGGATATTCACCCTAATAATGGTAACCAGTGAGTGCACCTGATGAGACGTGGGGAGAGCCTGTACTTCTGAGAAAAAAAAAATATATATATATGTCAGTAGACATGATGTCACAGGGTTTCTGCCTAAAAAGGAAACTGCCACAGTGTAAAGCTGAAGTGAAATACGTTTTCTACAAATTATTTGTGTTTGCCCCCTGGTCGACTCTCTAATGTTGTCCTTTCCCCCCTCTTTCTTTTATCGTTTTTTGTGCTTTAAAAAAAAAAAAAGAACATGTCTCTAAAACCTGCCTTTTATAGCAAGTCACTGACTGATAATACCAGGAGAGTGTTATGCTCGGTAGAGTCAAAAGTATTCTTTATGATCATTCCAGTTTCCAGCAAGAGACAACAAAAACAGTGCCAAGATCAATTTGTAAATAAAAACAAGGTCCCACCCATTACATTAATTTTTGTTTTGTTTTTATGGACAAATACATTAAAACATGCATGATTTTGTTACTTTGGGATACTAATATATTTTATTTGGGATTATGTTCCTCTTTTCTTAGGTTTAAATAATATATTCCCAAATATATATATATATATAAATATATATATAAAAGTCAAACACTGTGTACGATTGTACAGTTGTCAGAGAGGAATCTATTGAAAAGAGTTATATCAATATAATAACGGTAAATATGATGTAATGATGATGAAAAAGATGACTGATGATGATGATGATAGTGGTGATTACAATCACATTAATGTCAAGGAAAATCTCACTACACAGCTAGCATGAGAGGAGTGGATCAAAGGAGAACAAGACTGTAGAAAATATGAAAACAAAGAAGCAAATCTTGAAAGTTCAATCTTCCTTGCATTATCTAAGTGAAAATTGTCAAACAGCCAGTCAGTATGATGTGTAAATATACTGTAAGGTACACTCTTTGTTCAAACAAATGAAAAATAAAGGTTGAGTTGTGATACTGTGAGAAAGAGAGAGCGAGAGAAAGAGAAGGAGGAACACCCGACTCCACTCCTCCTCTTACCCTTTCTTTTCAGTTTAGAGGGTGGTGAGCAAACAACTCAGCTAAGGGCTTAAGGCTTGACTTTACGTGATGTCCACTTCAACAAAAGACAAAACTATTCAAAAAGAAGTATAAAGAGGACAATAACTATGAATAAAACAACTTATGCAAATTTCCATGGTGCAGTGAATGTGTTTTTGGATGGTGGTTGTGTCAAAAGTGCTTTAAATGTGTTTCGGATAAGCATTCTGCAGATGATGAAACATGGAACTGATCTTCATAATTAAACTGCATCAAATGTTGCGCGACCTGAAGAGGACGTACTGTCCGGAGTCCTGGCTTCCAAACACTGCGTACAAAATCATGACGTAAAAAGTGTTCCAATGTCCTCGCCATACAATGAAGCCACTCGGGCAAGAGTAACTCAGACATGAAGTATGCAATTAAATTACTCCTGAATGAACTTTGCCTATGTGTGATGAGGTGACAGCGGGCAGATTCCTCTCTAAGTAATTAGTCTCTAATTGCAATCCTTAGTCTTTAAAAAGTAAATATCCAAAATTACAATATATTCTTTATTTGATTGAATGCAGTATTTATGCAGAGAAGTTTAGGCAACCCTTAACCACTAACTTAAAAAACTTAAAAGCATGATTAGTACCTCTCTGTTACACACAGAGTTACATTTTTAAACATTTCATTTCAGTATAACTGGGGACCATACATACAAACAGACGTACTTTGAGGCTGTTTGTGTTGAAATTCTTATTTTTCTTATATCATTTCTGCCTAATTTACTTTACATCACTGTGTACAAATCTTCAGGTCATGAGGACATATTCATCGAGGGAATGATTTAAGCTACAGGGGGAATTTGATGAGAGATTTGAGAGAACATAAAATCCACTATTGAGAGGGCAGCTGAAATCAACCCTTGTGAATGTCATGTGGTTGTAGAGATGTTGCCAACAATAAAAGAAAACATTGAAAACTACAGAATGGTAGAACGGCTGCGAAAAAAATTCAAAACAGGAATTAATGTCATCCATTCATTTATTTGGAAGGATCAGAAAGGGAAAGTTTTAGGCACAACAAGGAAACGGGTGGGGCCTTGGGTTTGCTCAGGATTGTTGTCACAAAGTGCTGCTAAGCAGCTGATGTTGAAGTAATGATAGGAAATTCACATGCGAACATTTCACATGAGTCCCTTATTGACTGGTTACTGTAAGTGAATCTGCTAGGAATACCCAACAACAGCAACACTAAGTATGCAGAAGTACAACTGAGTTATACGAGTGGGCTAAAATTCATTTTTAAGCTTGCCAACATTTAAACAGATATAAGAATGGCGAGTAAACACAGCATAAGAGCTATACTTAGTGCGACATATTCTAATAAATATTATAAATAACATACACTGAAAACCAGCTGAACTCCAGCTGTTAAGTTGAAAAAGGTAATTAAGGTATTTAATTGTGAACTACTGGATTCCCGTTAAACTGTGACGCACATGGTTAAGTGCATAAATGCTAATTAGGTTTGCATACTTGACACAGATTCACAGAGAAATTGACAACTTGCACACTGGGGAGATGTGCATGTATGGTTAATGGAAGAAAAGCACGAGTACAGTCTAAATTGCAAAAAATAACTAGTGGAACAGAAAAGGAGGTAAAGGAATAAGACTGACAATACGTTTCCCTCTACCACTTTGCATAGATTTTCTGGTGCAGAAATTATTAAATCTGTAACCTTTTGTGATAGGAAATATGATAAAGTAAAATATATTGTGTCTTTTTGCCATAAGTTTGATCAAATGTGCCCTGATATGAAATCTAGGTGCCACAATTGTGACCTGTTCATTTTACAAATCACAAGAAGATCTGAAAAATATAGATTTGTCCATTTTGGATCTTCCGAGTTCACTTGCAGCTATATCGAGGTTGCTGTAATGCTTAAGAACCCTGAACAGAATGACTTTTGTCTTCACTATTAGATTTTGTAAACATAAAAAGAGCATCAAAAGATTTTAGCTGGGTCCCTGCCAAACTCAAGATTTGTCATCTTAATTGAGACATCCAATATCGAATAAGGAAAAGGGATAGAGGGCATTTCTAACAATGTAAGTAGATCACAAACAACCACAGGCACAAATTGAAATTCATGGCCCTATGATGACAGTCCTGAAACAATAAATATCTATACTCCCTGGCATGTTCCACGGCTGTGTCTATTTCTAGGTCTCCTGAATCATTGAGACATTTTTCTAAAAGAAAAACAAGAGAACAGAAGACGGCCATGCTACGGGCCTCTACTGGAGCTTCCCGTGTTGTTGTCTAAACTAGTTTTCCCAAACCACCAACACAAAGTATAACTTATTTGCTTCCAGCTGTCCTTTGCTCCCCTCTCTTTACTTCCTACAGCTGACCTCAACATTAATACTTGCCCTCATATCCCCTGGGCCTTTTCTTTTTCTCTAAGCTTGTATATCTGCTCACACCTGCTCATGGCTGTAAACCACCTGGTCGAATCAAATGGACAAGCCTTCGGGCAGCTGGGAGGAAATTCCACTAAGTCTAGCTTTCTTGGAAAAGTTTTAGCATCTCATCTGGTCTCTTATTTACTACTTCCAGTCTCCTGCATCTGACACGCAGAAGATAGTGTCTATCCTCTTGTCTCAGCACTGCTCCTCTCTCTGTTCACTGCCCACAAACAGTAATGCGAGCCGATGCATATCCTCCGGGCCACCCTGGTCATCCTCTCCTCCTCTGACCCCTTTTACATGAGCTTAATGTTCCTCAACCCATCCTGAAGTCTTATTCAATATTCCCATAAGCAGAGTTAACTTCTCCCCTCCTAAACCCTGCCCCTTCTCCCCCTCCCAAACTATTGCTTCTGATCTGCTCTAGAGCTTGACTCATACCATCAACCCCTCCCTGACATCTGGCTGATAACCATCTGTCTTTTAGAGACACTGTTCTCTTTCAAAACCGTGTCTTGACCCATCTGACACCAATTACAGATGGCTGTCAAGCTTTTCGTTGGCACTATTGCTATTTCTGACTGTAGCTTTTTTTATCTGAACTGAACTTGTAAAACAGCCATTATAAAATTAAGGTATAAAATGTTGCCAATGTAGATTTTCTTCATTTAAATTATGTTAAAGTTAGTTATATGAAAGTCCAGTATATTGTTTTTTTACAGGACCTTTAAAAGCCTGTATTAAGACATCCAATGAAACACAGCAAGTGGCCAGTGAGCTGTTATAGCCAATATATTATTAGCGCTTTAGTCAAAGTAATTACAATAACTGCTTTTTAATTGCCACTTGCCAAAATAACCAATTTAAACCTTCTATATAAAATCTGAGAAGATTACACAACTAAATGTCTACAGCCATGGTCACAGTAGTGCTTTAAAATGTGTGCTGCTAACCTGCAAGATAATTCTAGCATATTAGCACGCTAGCATACGTTAATTAGCACTGTAGAGCTGATGGGAATTTTACAGTGATTCGTCATAAATCAAAATGTGGGCCAATTAATACATTTTAAATGAAAAGTCTGAGGTCATCATTAATCCACCCAATAGTTGTTGAGATATTTCTCTCCACCAATCAGAACGTGTTGTAATCGCTAGAGGTAAGTCCAAGGATCGCTTGAATTCATTGAAAGGAATCCACGAATCAGTACAACATTTCCTGGCAATCTAGTCTGGACCAAAGCGGTGGACCGACCATCCAACCAGGAACAATCAGAACAACCGGCGGGCCGTGCTATAATAATGCTGGCATAAGATATCTAACAATCTGCATGAAAGCATCTTGCAAACAATTTGTGGAGGATGAAAAGCCAACATGAATGGTCGAGTAACCTTCATAACAAGGGTTACTGTTGCCTGTCATCTTGAATGTACATACATTTTATAATACCAGACAAATGTGTTGTGCTGGATTAATTTATTTTCATCCACAGCCAATGTGAGGCCCTCTCTTCAGGCTCTGTTGTCATTGTGTTAGCCCTTCTTTTGTGAGAGTTGTATTAAAAACTGAAGGCCCCACAGACAGACTGGCTAGTACCTTCTTCCCTGGGTCTATACACTGAACACAATCTCTGTGTTTAGCACTTCTACATCACCTCCTCATACATGCATTATGATATTATGAAAAGTAGAACAATGCCTTCCCAGGCAATGTACCTGTGTTTGTTTAACAAAAGAAGCCCAGCCTGCTGTAGCCTGGATGTAATAAAAACATGGGCCTAGCTTACCTGGTGTTTGGAAATGCCTAAAGCCTTGATCAAGTCCATCTAACAGTGCTTTTGGGCCAACATTCCTGCTACATGGCTGGAATATGTAGAAAGAATCATAAAAATAAGGAAGAGAGTCAGAAATTCATTGATTTGAGTGGAATCCAGATGACCAGGGATCAAGTTTCCTCTATTTTGAAAACAACAACTGGTGCCAATTACTTAATGTTGCAACAGTTTAACAGACCAACGCCCAAATGCATCTTTAGTCCCACCATTTTGGAAGCAACTTAGAAATAGAGACAAATAAGACACAAACACATTTGTGAAACTGATTTAGTCATTTGACAATGCACAAAGACATGCTTGGAAAATACAGACACAAGCACAAGCAAATAAACACCCCCAACCCTCAGTAGCACTAGTAGCTACGCCTGCCAGCCTGCAAGCGGAAGTCCCACCTAAGTGCCATCTGCAGTGTGGGACGAACTGGAACATAACATGTCAGACTGATGGACAGAGACAGACAAAGAGACTCCTAGTGTACCAACAAACTGCATCATAGTTCTCTTATTGCAAATACTCATCTGTCCATCTTTACATGTTTCTTATTCCTCAACGAGAGTAACTGATTAAATAAATGTACAGAAAAATAACTTGGTGGTTGGTATGTCACTGTTATGCAGTCATGTTTATAGATGTATGTACAAGTATGCAGTGTAGTTATGGTAAGCTATGTTCAAGTCTCCTGCCAATCATGGGATTAGGACAGCAGGCCTTGCAGTTACAGTATCTAAGACATACTGTTTTTAACTCATATTGGTGTCTCAACAAATGGCACAAAACAATGTATATCTTGAGCCTACACTATGCCAACGGTTAAGCCCAAACAATCTTTTTGTTAGAAATAATGTAAAGTAGTTTTATAA